CTCCGAAGGAGACCTTGAGAGGAGAGTCAGGGCCCACCTCTGCAGGCCTGCCTGTGCAGGTGACCCCAGGACTGGGAGTCATGGCTGAATTCTCCCCTCCTGAGCACAGCTCCTCTCCTTGTGAGTAGATGTGTGTGCCGACGTGTGCACATGCGTGGAAGAAACAACCTCACGCAACTGTCAGCCAGTCCTTGGTCCGGCAGCGCCCAGGGTCCTGGTCTGGCGTTAGGGGACAGTGAGGGCTGGGCAGACATTGGTGGGAGCTCAGTGAGCTGCCATACGTGGGCTCCCTGAACACCAGCTAGACTGAAAGCCCACGTGTGCAGCTGGAGCCCACTCCATGACACAGCGTGGGAGATCGCTCTCCGTCATGAACGTGGCACCCACGCAGCCTGAAGCCCCAGGGGACATTCTGAGATATTTTATTAACTGTCGCAGACACACCACAAGGTGCTGGAGATGAGGAAGGCGTGAACAACACACAAGGGAGCCTGCGCTGTGGCATAGCGGGTAAAGCCCCCCCAAAGGTGCCAGCATCCCATATTGGCACCAGTTTGAGACCTGGCTGCTCCACTTTGATCCAGCTCTCTGCTGTGGCTGGGAAAGCAGTGGAAGATGCCCAAGTCCTTGGGTCCCTGCACCCACGTGGGAGAACGGGAAGAAGCTCCTGACTTCAGATCAGCGCAGCTCTGGCCTTTGCAGCCACTGGGGGAGTGAACCAGCGAAGACCTCTCTCTCTCTGCCTCTGCCTCTCTATAGTTCCGCCTTTCAAATAAATAAAAATCTTAAAAAAAAAAAAAAAAAAAAAAAAAAAAAAAAAAGATACATGAGGGCCCCGGGCGTCAAGTCTGGTCTGACCAGGGGCCACGACAGCTCCGGTGCCCCGCCGGGGGGGGGCCCTGCTCCGACCACGGCACCCCCAGTCCCCATCGCCGGTCCCTCTGTCCTACCACACGTACTCCTAAGCGAGGCGTGGCCTCCGCGTGGCCGTGCGTGGAGTCCCGGGCGGGTACTCGCTGCTCCGCAGCCGTGAGACGCCCACGCCCGCACCCGCACGGGGCCGGCTGGCTGGGTCTCCCCGCGGGGCCCCTTCCCTGGGACGTGGACACTGGGACTCCGCCCTGGCGTCCCAGGACACTGCCGCGGGCACATTCCTGTCCCAGGCCGCTGTCCACGCGAGTCCACTCCCGGCCGCGGGGCCAGCAGCCCCAGCTGCAGCAAATGACCCGCTCTCCCCGCTGGCGGGCGCCTGGCTGAGGGCGCGGCGTGATGGAAACGGCAAGGAGGCGCCGGGGCACCGGACGTCCCCTGAACCTCCCGTCAGGCACAAACGCCAGCCGCCACCCTCGTGTTTCCGGGCGGGAGGCAGTGGCCGGGTGGCGTCGAGGGACGCGGCTCCCTTCAGTGGGGCCGTCCTGAGCCCTCCTGGGGCGGGGCGCCGGCAGGAGGCCGGAGGGGCTCGGGGCGCTGGGTCCCCGCAGCCCAGGCGCGGCGGGGTTCGGGGCGCTCGGTCCCCCCCGGCCCAGGCGCCGCGGGGCTCGGGGCGCTGGGTACCCCCTGGCCTAGGCGCCGCGGGGCTCGGGGCGCTCGGTTCCCCCGGCCCAGGCGCGGCGGGGCTCGGGGCGCTCGGTCCCCCCCGGCCCAGGCGCCGCGGGGCTCGGGGCGCTGGGTCCCCTCGGCCCAGGCGCGGTGGGGCTCGGGGCGCTGGGTCCCCCCGGCCCAGGCGCGGCGGGGATCGGGGCGCTGGGTCCCCTCGGCCCAGGCGCGGTGGGGCTCGGGGCGCTGGGTCCCCCCGGCCCAGGCGCGGCGGGGATCGGGGCGCTGGGTCCCCTCGGCCCAGGCGCGGTGGGGCTCGGGGCGCTGGGTCCCCCCGGCCCAGGCGCGGCGGGGATCGGGGCGCTGGGTCCCCTCGGACCAGGCGCGGTGGGGCTCGGGGCGCTGGGTCCCCCCGGCCCAGGCGCGGCGGGGATCGGGGCGCTGGGTCCCCTCGGCCCAGGCGCGGCGGGGCTCGGGGCGCACAGACTCGCGCATGCGCTGAGGGAGCTGGCAGGGGCCGCCCTGAGGGGCGCCAGCGCCGAGGAGCGAGGGGACCCTGTCTGTGATGGCCGCCGGAGGAATCCAGTGGACATTTGTCACGTCGGCGCCAGAGCACTTGGTCTCCAAACTACACCAAGCCCGGCGGCGGCGTCGAGGCGCGGCGTGGTCACAGAGCTGCCCGCACCGCGAGGACGCCGATGCAGCCAGGCCGGCGGAGGGCAGTGCGGGCCACCCGCACCCCGGGAGCCTCCGTCGTGGGTGCCAGGCAGGTCCTCCCTTTTCTCATATCCCCAGCCCCGGCGAGCCACGGCTCCCTCCGACTAGGGGCCCCCACCCACCCCACCCCATGGCTCCTGCACCCATGCAGCTATGAGGGGCAGCCTGCAGCCACCCCCACCCCGGGAGCCTCCCCCGTGGGTGCCAGGCAGGGCTGCCGCGGTCTTAGTAAAGCCCGCAGCCCTGGGGAGGCCGGTGGCTCAGGCAGAGGGGACCCCACTGAAAGAGGCGGCTGTGAGCCACCATAAAAATAGTCTCTTAAAAATAAAATAATAAGACTCCTGAGACAAACTGTTCCAGAGACGGCCTTGGAAAATGGGGAGTAAACCGGTTCACAGAGAAAGCAATCAGCTACTGACCAGAGATACGCAGAACACCTGCCTTGTAGATAAGCCCCCCTTCCTTCCTCTTGCTCAAGGTTGACTAAGAAAGTTACAAGGCACGTAGCAACCTATTCCTCTCTCCTAGAAACCCCCTCCCCTAATGTATCCCTTTGACCTAGTACTTTTCCACCGACATTAGCACTTCAGACTGCCATACAAGGCCCGCTACTGAAAATTATCCAATGAACTTACGCCAGTCTTTAATATGTTAATTCTGTGGTTTTGCCTTTTAAAAGCTGTAAAAGATAGCTGCTCGGGGGCTCCTCTCACTTGCTTGCTGCTTGCAGCAGTAGGGGGCCCATTTGTACAAATGAAATAAAAATTACCTCCTGCTCTATTGCATCGTCTGGTCTGGAGTCTGTGTTTCTGGGGTCATCACAAGAGGACACCGCTTTTGGGGTCCTACACCCACCCCACCCCACCCCATGGCGCCTGCACCCATGCAGCTGTGAGGGGCAGCCTGCAGCCACCCTAAGCCTGGGGCCTTCCCCAGCCGCAGCAAAGGAACGCCCCCCCCCCCCGGCCCCCCGCTGCAGCCTCCTGGGACCTGGACCAGGGGCCGGGGCAGGGAACGCGGAGGGTGCTGAGGCACGTGAGCAGGCCCTCCTGACAGACCCCAGCAAGGCCGGGTGGTGCTGGAGGGGGAGGTATCTCGCTGGTAGCACCCAGCAGGGCAGGTGGGTTCAGGACTCGCTGAGCAACCGCCTGAACGCCCTCAGGGGCACTCGGCACTCCCACCATCCTTGGCAGGGCTCCCCCACCCCTCAGCAAACTGCCAGGCATGACCCCAGCCCACAGGGGACAAACCCCTGCCAAGCGCAGGAAGCAGAATCTCATATGGCTAAGGGACACCACCAGGGGCATGGGTGACCCAGGAGCCGGCCTGGGACTAACACAGAGGGGACACCCTCTGCTCCCCCTCCCACCCACGCTCCTCAGTGGCCACACCTAGGGGTCATGGGAGGCCAGCATGGCCTGAGGCAGACAAGCCCTGGCCAGCACGGCCTGTACAGTCCCGCCCACAGGTACACAGGGACAGCCCACTGTTCCTGTCCGGGGGCCTGGGGTCCAGAGCCACCCAGGACCAGTAGTGTGGAGAGTGGACAGCAGACTGGAGGGCGATTATGCTGATGGACTCAGACGGGTCCAGCCATCTGCCCAAATGTAACCTGGAAACCGTGGGTCCAGGAAGGTTCAGGTGGGCAGTCACGTCTCAGCCCTGCTGTGTGCTTCTCTGGCTCTCAGCAGTCTCTGGTTACGTGGTGGCCCCCTGACTCCTGAGACCGTGGACCTGGCCAACCTCAGATGGAAAGTATTTGGGGTAAAAACTCCATCTGTTCTGAAGATGGACAGATATGACGTCTTGTTGCTATTCTCTAAATGATACATTGTAACGACTATTCACATAGCATTGGTCTTGCAGACACTGTGTGCAACTTAGAGATGACTCACGTGTACGCAGGAGGTAGGTGGGATGGTGGGATGCACTGCACACATGGGACATGGGCCCCTGTGGCTACTGAGGGAAAACTGCAATCTTTAGAAGCGATCAGGGAGTGAGGATTCTGGCACTGTTGTCAGGCCCTGGAATTTAATTAAACTCTAAAAAGAAATTCCCAGAAGAGGCCATCAAAGAAGGATGTACTTTTCTCTGAAGGGAGGAGAGAACCACTTTGCTTATGGCCTTGTCTAAATGTTGACGGAGACTGTGAATTCAAAAGGCTTCCACAGCCTTGGCAGTCATGGCAAGAGCCTCGGGTGATCACTAATGTCATACATAAGAGTGTCAGTTGTTAAGTTAACAACAGGAGTCACTGTGCACTTACTCCCCATGCAGGACTTCTGTCTTCAGTGAGTTGTATTATGAGAATTAACTGTCCTCAAACTGGTCCTCAAACAGTTTTCTGTTTGTGTGTGCAAACTGTTGAAATCTTTAATATAGATGGTCTTCTGTGTATAAAGTTAATTGAAAATGAATCTTAATGGAGACTGGGACTGGAAATGGGAGAGGGAGGAGGGGGAGGGGTGGGAGGGCGGGCATGGTGGGAAGGATCACTGTATTCCTAAAGTTGTCCTTATGAAATCTTACTCATTAAATAAAAGGTTTCTTTGGGGGGAAAAAAGGCTAATTCACCCACTTTATAAAAAATAAACAAAATAAATTTACAGCACAGAACCCAGGTGAACCTAAAAAAATTTAAAAAGAAAAGAAATTCCCCGAGTGGTTAATCAGGACTCCTGGTCTCTAAAAGCAGTCGCATCCCCCAGCGCTCAGGCTGTGAGCTCGAAGCCACGCAGTCGGGGTTCTGGAAGAGGGTTTTATTGGCGGTCATCACAGCAGCTGTCCCGGGGCGCTGTGGGTCAGGACCACTCAGGCCTTCCCCAGGCTCTTCTTGATGAAGTAGCTCACCAGCCGCTGCGGCCGCTGCTGGTACTCGGACAGCACCTCGTGTGGGCTGCTGATCTGGTCTCCTAGCAGGCGGTCCAGGAGGGTGACACACACCACAGCCGCTGCGGAGAACAAAGGCCACGTCACAGCAAAGCATCGGGGCCCTGACAGCTGCAGCCAGGGATGGCCAAGGACAGCCAGGGATGGCCAGGGAGCCGCAGACGGGGAATGATGGCCAGGGACAGCCAGGGATGGCCAGGGAGCCCCAGACCAGAGTGACGGCCAGGGAGCTCCCAGTCAGATTGGGGAAGGGGAGTGAGGCCAGGGAGCTGCAGACGGGGAATGACAGCCAGGGACAGCCAGGGATGGCCAGGGAGCCGCAGACAGGGAGTGAGGCCAGGGAGCCGCAGACCGGAGTGACTGCCAGAGACGGCCAGGGAGCTCCCAGTCAGACTGGGGACGGTGAGAGTGCAGAGCTGGTGGAGGCGCAGAGAGGAGAAAGCACTGGGCCGCCTTCCTCTCTGCTCACTTGCCCTGTGTTGCAGTCTGTCTCGCGGCACAGCAGGTGCAGCCACTACCTATGATGCCAGGACCCCACATGGAGGAGGGGATGTGTCCTGCCTGCTCCACTTCTGATGCAGCTCCCTGCTAATACGCCGGGGAAAGCAGAGGACGATGGCCCAAGTCCTTGGGCCCCTGACACCCTGTGGGAGATCCAGATGGAACTCCAGGCTCCTGGCTTCAGTCTGGCCCAGCCCTGGCCACTGTGAACCAGTGGATGGAAGACTGCTCTCTGTCTGCCTCTCTTCCTCTCTGTAACTCTGCCTTTCAAATAAATAAATCTTAAAAAAAAAAAAAAAAAAACTGTGAAAGCTGAGGTCTCTGTAGGTCTGGGACATCTCCTGAGGCAGCAACAAGAGATCTGACAGCACTGGGTCTTTTCATCACTTCTCACCACCAAATAGCACGGGAGCCACTGCAGGGACACAGGACCTGGGTTTTGTCACGTGAGCACCAGAATGAGGGACACCACCCATCGGAAACTGTCGGGGGGTGGGGGAGGAGCAGAAACCCAGCCCCCAGAGTGGAGAGAAAGCGATGAAGAGGCACCCGGGCCCTCGCGTGCCTGTACCTCGGAGGCCACACGCGCTGCACATGGCGGCGAAGACGGAGGATTCCATCTCGATGTTGCGGATGCCGGCGGCGTGGGCCGCGTGCAGGTAGGCCTGCTTGTCTTTCTCTGTGTAGGAGCAGAGGGCGCCGTCCAGCCGGCCTTGCCCTGCGGCACAGGAGAGACACCCTCAGCTGCCACCACCAGGACACAGGAAGCAGGGCTGGGCAGGCCCATGCATCCTCAGAAACAGGCCGTCATAGCCACGGTGTGAGACAGCAGCAGAGACGGCAGCTCGCGTGTGACCACCCCACGCCGGGGGACAGGAGCACCCCCGCACATGGCTCACCCTCATAGAAGTCCAAGGTGCACATGGTGTTGCCCACGACGGTGGTGAACTCGGCCAGCTCGCTGGAGCACTGCATCAGCTCCTGCACCAGCCGCTCGTCCAGGTCCGTGCTGCGGACCACCCGCTTGCCCAGGATGATCTGCTCAAACTCCGGCCGGAAGCAGGCGTCCACAGCCTGCCGGGTGATGACCACAGAGCCGGGCTCCAGGCCTGAGGGCGACAGCAGGAGTCGGGCGGTCAGGGAGAGGCGGGGCGGCACTGGGAAGCCGTCTGTGGACATGGCCACCAGGGGGCCCCACGGCGCTGCTCCGACAACTGCACAGCCGTCCGTCTAGACAAACCACAGGAGCCTCCAGTCCCGCTAGCGGTTCTGTGTCCCAGGCGCTACTGCTTTCCCGCCAAGTGCGCCCCGGCAGAGGACCAGAGGTGCTCAACGGACCGCTGTCCGATGTCCTCAGGATGCAGCAAATGCAAAAGCCAACAGCAGAGTGGGTCCCGTGCAGCCCGAGCCCAGCTTCCCAGCTTCAGAGACATGGGGTCCCGCACAGAGAGCAGGACAACTTAGGATGTGAAACAAATCTGCCTAGGGCGAGGGCGCTTCTGCTTGCACTTCTAAACAAGCCTGCTTTCCAGTCTATCTTTGCCACCGCTGTGTTTCAGAACCATGCTGAGGGCTGGGAGGTCTGAGAGAAGGCAGGGCCCTCATCCTAGGTGTCCCCCCACACCCCCTCTGACCTTCCTGTGGGTTTTCTCGGGAGGGTGTCTAACCTTGCGAGAATAAGGAGAGTGAGCTAAGGAAAAGAGGGAGGCACAGGTGCACCCCCACCGGCAGAACGGCCGGACCAAGGTGGGCACACAGCTTTTCCTCACACCTGCCATCGGAACACCCTGACCAGGGCCAACCCCACGCCATGCGCGGCCCCTCCGCAGACCTCACCTATTCCGCCAGAAGTGCCGATGCGGATGATGGTGACGTCAGAGCACCGGGCGTGGTACAGCAGCTTGATGAGTTCATGCAGCATGATGGCGATGGAGGGAACACCCATGCCGTGCTGGGATGGGAGACACAGGGTGAGCCGGGCAGGCCTCCCTCGGCACAGCCCGTACCCGACCAGGACGGGAGACAGCGGGTGAGCCGGGCAGGCCTCCCTCGGCACAGCCGCGCACCCGACAAGGACGGGAGACACCAGGTGAGCTGGGCAGGCCTCCCTCGGCACAGCCGCGCACCCGACCCGGACGGGAGACACCAGGTGAGCCGGGCAGGCCTCCCTCGGCACAGCCGCGCACCAGGACGGACAGGAGACACCAGGTGAGCCGGGCAGGCCTCCCTCAGCACAGCCTGTACCCGACCAGGACGGACAGGAGACACTGGGTGAGCCAGGCAGGGCCTCCCTCGGCACAGCCCCGCACCCGACCTGGACAGGAGACACCGGGTGAGCCGGGCAGGCCTCCCTCGGCACAGCCCCGCACACGACCAGGACGGACAGGAGACACCGGGTGAGCCGGGCAGGCCTCCCTCGGTGCAGCCCCACACCCAACCAGGACGGACAGGAGACACCGGGTGAGCCGGGCAGGGCCTCGGCACAGCCCCGCACACGACCAGGACGGGAGACACCAGGTGAGCCGGGCAGGCCTCCCTCGGTGCAGCCGCACACCCGACCCAAAGCTCTTCTCTCCGCTGTCAGTTTCCCGAGGTCAACAAGAAGAGTGAGACCACCCTCATGTAACTGTTACCACACCATGCTGCTGTAATTACTACTAGTTATTGTTGTTCATCTCTTATGGACCCAGTATGTAAGTTAAACATTATCACGGGAACGCACATATAGAACAGATCCAGGTACACTGGGCCCGTGACCATCGCAGGTCTCGGGCATCCACCAGGGGTCTTGGTGGACATCTAACGTGGGGCATCGCCATCAAATCACGTGGTAATGGAAGATGAACTTCAAAACAGACATCTAAAAAGTATCATCACTTCGTGGATGTCAGGACCCCACTGGCCCCACAGAACCTGTCGATCAGGAGGCAGAACAGGACGCTCAGCAGGAAGGTGCGGCCACGATCGTCACGGCAGCACACAGCGGCCCTGTCCCCACGCCCTCCCACTGCTCAGTTCCTCCCCCTTACCCTTCTCCCGAGCCCTCTGCTGCAGTCCGGCTGACAGTCCAGCTGCAGCATCTGCTGACTGCAGGCCTGAAGGCACCACTCCCCGCCCGCGGGCCTCAGCACACCCCCTCCACCTGCCCTTCTTCAAAGACCCCCCCAGTGTCACCAGAGGCAGCTGACCAGCAGGTGGGGGCACCCTTGGCTGACTCTGCGGCTCTTCACTGCTACTGCAAGGGGCCCAGAACTAGAAAGCCCAGAGGCTTCCCTGGCAGCCCGAGATGTCTGTCCATCAGAGTCTGCGAGGCAGCAGCTCGCTCACTCTGCAGCAGCACAGGGACTGGACAGCTGGCCCCTGGCTGTGTCTCCTCTGCCCTCCAGTACACCCACTCCCTGCACCTGCTGCCCACACCTGCCGCCCACACCCTGCAGAGACAACTGCGGGTGTTTGCCTTGGCATCGGTTTTTACGTACTTCGTCTCTCCGGGAGAGTGAGCCTGGAGGGCAGGAGCCAGCTCCCATCTGTTTGCATCCAGCCGCTGCAGGCTCACCCTGCTCCCAGCCATCAACAGCCAACAGATGCCAGGGACTGGGGTGTCTGTGTAGAGGCCGAGTGTGGGGCCAGTTCCAGGTACTCACGCTGACGGACAGCACCGGCCCGGCTTTGTACATGGCGTAGCGGTCGGTCCCTGTGCAGATGTTGGGGTGGTCTTCATCTGGGCGGCCAAGGCCCAGCTCCGCGGCCACGTACTTGATGAAGGCACTCATCCGTGAGGGGCTTCCTCCCACACACACAAACTGCAGCCGGAGAACAGGGACCGGTCAGTGCCCCCTCCAACCGGAGCAGCAGCAGCAGCATCCCCTGGGGACCTGCTGCACCTGGGGGCCTCAGAGGCAGGCACTGGAGTGCGAGGCCATCAGCTCCACCATCCGGACTCTCACTCTCCCCGAGAAGCCTCCAGGAGGCTCCTCATGGCCTCCCTGCCCCGTGTGGAGGCAGCTGGGGGACGGGAGAGGGCCTGGGATTGGGGTCAGATGGCGCGGGCTCCGCACTGCCACCAGGGCCCCACAACCTATCTGCAAAATGGGCCACCCATCAATCACGCCCTCTCACGAGGTCTTCTGAGTGTCGAAGGACCAGCACCAGGGAAGAGCTGGGGGCCTGGGAAGTTGTCGCTGCTGGGCTGGGGGGCGGGGGGGGGGGGGGGCAGGTGCATGTGTGTGTGTGTGTGTGTATGTGTCTGTCTGTCCCTGAGAAGTAAAAATAATGGACAATGCATCATGTGAGAAAACGTGATTTGCACAAAGAACTAAGCCAGTGCTAAGGAGTTCGAAGATCAATGAATTCTAATTCTCTGAACATGAGCAAGAAAACCCCACAGCCTGGAATAGTGTGATGTGATCTTAATGGGAAGAAGGGGATTTAAAGAGCACACGGGATTTGTCCCAGGCTGCAAGCAGCACCAGCAGAGGACGGTGCCGCGGCAGCTGGGTCGGAGCCCTGAGGGCAGCCCCACAGGGAGCGCTGCTGGCTGGGGCCTGGACTGTCGTGAGGTTTAATCCCGCTAGTGCACGTCCACGGGGGCATGAGTCAGCGGCACACGCCTGTGTCGGCAGCAGCGCAGCCGTGCTTAGCTGCACATTCCTGTTTCTCGTGTAGTTCAGAACAGCAGGGAGAGAGAACTTCACTGTTCCCCAAACAAAGAAAGGGCGCGTGTTCCAGGGCACGTGGACTTGCCCGTTCCCCGCATCCAATCTCCGCTCGCGGCCCACGAGTTTGGAAATGTCACACTGTACTCCAAGTTATGCACATCTATGTGTCAATTAAAAAAAAGTTTAAAATGAGATTTTTTAAAAAACTGTTATAGGGTACATTGGAACTGAGGAAGATGTGAGGAAAATGGAAGCCACGTTCAGCCAGTCTGAACGACAATGGCTGATGGTTATCACGAGCCCCTTCCATGACGGACAGACGCCACACAAGTGCCTTTGTCCGCTGCCCCTGCTCCCAGAGAAAACGTTTTAGATCTCCCTCGTCTCTCCCTGGAGCCCTAGGAAGTTTAGCTTTCGTCACGTCCATTACGTAACAGGTTTCCAGGAGAGGAGTGAGGGACCCACAGGCAGGACCGAGGACCCGCCCACCTGCTTCACCCGCTTTAGAAGTGGCAGACAGAGACGGCTTCATGAGCCTGCCCTCTCCCCGCCCCGTGTCCGTCAGGAGGCTCGTGTACCTTCACGTCCCCAAACATGGCCGGGAAGTCGTGTGTGCCGGTGCCCAGGCTGAAGTGGTACAGCAGGTCCTCCTTCATGGTGGCCAGGTGTGGGTTGGAAAGCCGGACGAGGCAGCCACTGTCAGACAGGAGGGGGAAGCGGGGATGCCGTGTCAGTGGCGGCACTGTCACAAAGCACCCGTGTGAATGGGACACGAGAGGCCCACGTGCCCGTGTTGCAGACATGAGACACAGGTGTCATGACAGCATCACACAGTGCCTGTGTCAGCGAGACAGGAGAGGCACACGTGTCAATGGGTGGCAGCATCATCACAAAGCGCCCAGGGCAGCTGCCCTGAGACACGCGTGGGGAAGGGCCACTGTTAGACAATCCCAGCCCCGTAAGGTCCCACTTCCCCTCCAGCGTGCCCTCCTTCCTCTTCTTCGCCTCTTGGGCCATGGGGAGACTGTGTGGCTTCCGGGAGACGTGTGTGGCTTCTAGAGACCTCGGGCCTTCCCCGTGGGGTCATTCTGCCCTGCTGATGACTGACAGTGCAGGCCCTCGGTGGCCTCAGGGCGGGGCCATCCCAGGAAGAACTAGAACTCGGGACTTTCGGTCCCACCTTCAGCCTCTGAGGGGGGAGAGGGCTGGGGTGGGCCGGTTCCCAGTAGTCAGAGGTGAAGCATCCAAAAACCCCCAGAGAACTGGGGTCACCGACCCACGGCCAGATACGGGGCGCTCTGTGGAGGGTGAAGCCCCAGGCCCATGCCAATGCCTGACCTGCCCCATGCCACCTCCACCCTCTGATACAGCAGTCAATGCCAAGTGTCCCTGAGTTCTGAAGCCGCCCTTAACAAGTGGCACAATTTATAGCCAGTTGGCCACAGGCACAGCAAAGACAACCAGGGCCTGGGCTCTGAGGACGATGGGTGGGAGGTGTGGGCGGAGGTTCCAGGGGCTGACCTCAGCCTGTAGGACGTGACAGTGCCCAGTCGACGGAGCCAGCAGAGACTGTGCAACACTGCCCGCTCGGGGCGGGGAAGGACCACGCGCACGGAGCTCGGAGCCCAGGAGGCGTGCTGTGACGGCAGCTGCTCAGCGGAGCCGAGTCGGAGACCTCTCTTAGCTCCCAGGGCCCTGCTCAGGCAGCGAGGAAGGGTTCGGAAGTGCACCCGCGAAGGTCCCTGCCTCACGCCATCCAGAGTACAGCCGCTTGCCGTCCAACCCAAGAGCGTTCAGCAGCCAGAGGTGTGTCTGCTAAGTGGTTGGCCAGCCAGAATAGAAAACAACGACCCTGCCCGCTGCGCGGAGACCGCCCGTCCAGTCAGCCGAGTCCTTTCTTTTCTTTCCCCGTCTTTCCCACTAGCTGCTGACTCTGCCACACGACGCCACGGGCGAGCAAGGAGGCTGCTCTCACAGAGCGGCTGCTGGAGCGTCTGCAAGGCTCCTGTTCTCTCCTAGAGCGGCCTAGGGGGCAGACAAGCCTCCCTCACGAGAGAGAGGACGGTTTCTGTGGGAAGACGCAGGCTGCTGCCAGCAACAGTGTGGTGAGTGTGGCTGCGTGCAATGAAGCCTTTTGTCCGAGTAGAGGCCCCAGGTCCCCAGGTCTCCAGCTGCCGCAGGCCTCCGGGGGCCACCCTGCGGCATAGCTCCTTCAACAGCGCCTGCCTTCTCATCCTGGGGTGGCTGGACTCCCCGCAGGACGCTGAGGCAGGTGCGGGACACTGATTCAGGTGTGGGACGCTGAGGCAGGTGCGTGTCCCTGTGTGCGCAGGGCCTAAGCTTTCTTCCTTCTGAGTCAAGCCCTACCCTGAAGCCAGGATCACGTTCCCTCCTCAATCCGACTCAAGGTCCCCCACTCGGCATCTCCACAGCACTCCCCAGGCTGCAGTGTGCTGGAAGAGGCACACGCACAGTGGAAATGGCGCTGGGATGTCGAGGCTGGCTCCCCGCAGGCCAGCGCTGTGTGGTCCGGTCCTCACTGGCAGTGCTGGGCAGCAGCTGTGCGTCCAGTTCTCAGTCACCTTGGTCCCAGGAACACCTGACACCTACAAGGGGCCGTGTACTGAGCGGGGCTGTGCGGCAGGTCAGTTTAGGTCTGAGCACCTGTGACGTGTTATGAAGGACACCCCACCCCCTCCCCGGGACCTTGTCCACTGTGCCTCACTCACCCCAGATGTACCTCATCTACTTCATACACATTTGATTACCATACAACTGTCTCCAGGAATGGTCTGGAAGCCAGGAATGTGCCTATTCACCCCTGCATCCCACACAGCACGCAGCAGACACGCAAAGCCAGGTGGACGCGGCCTTCCCTGTGTTACCTTCTCTATCCCTCACGTCGTCCACCCCGTGTCTGCCTGGCAGTCGGCATGGACAGCAGGTGCCGAGGGCTCTCCCTCTCCCTCTGCCACATCCATTGCTTCTCCCTTTCCCGTTCCTCTCCTTTCCCCCTTCCTGTCCATTCCAGATTAGCTCCCCCCCGCCCCGAGCATTTTCAAAAGGCTGATAAAAAGTGAAAGATGAAAGACAGAGAGGTCGTTTTATTAAAGTAGCGAGGTCAGGGCTGCCTGGCTGTTTTGTGGGCACACAAGCGGATTCCAGAGACCACAGGTGGACCAGGAGTCGGCAGCCATCACCCAGGGTGGACGGACCACACGCAGGGTGACCGCACTGGCATGCACAGGGCCAGCCTGCTGGGGAAGGGCGAGCACCTGCCGAGACACCCAGCACACCTGTCTGCTGGAAGCCCCCTCCTCCTGGCAGGCTGCGTGGCCCACAGATGCAGGGTCCAGTTCACTCTCGGCTGCACCTTCTCCCAGGCACCCAAAACAAGCTCATGTGTAGTTCAGATCTCTGACGCTGCCCAGAGAGCCCGTGGGATCGCGAGGCCTGAAGTTCTCACCATGCCAACACGCAAGCTCCTCACGCACCCTTCAGGAAGCCGGAATGACACAGAGCTCCACCAGAAGGGCAAGCCAGGGCTTCAAAGGGCCAAGAGCGGATGCAAGGAAGCTGCTGTGTCATGCTTCTGCATTCCAGGAAAAGGAGACAGAAATAGGAGGTAACCACGGGGACTGGCAATGACAAAGCGTGTGAGTGTGACACACATCACAACCACCAGGACAAGGACACTTGTCTAGGCTGCACCCCATTCCAAGGGCCTCCCCTTGCTGCTCACTTCCGTCTCACACTCACCGAGCACCTACTAGGTAAAGGCGTCAATGAGACGGAAATGGCTTCTGCCTGTAGGAGTTCATTGGCACAGAAGAGGAAACACCTGTGGCTGATACAAACTGACCCAGTGTCTCAGAATAGGGGAGTGGGGGGATGACGACAGTGGGCACAGGTCCTGGTGGGACGGGGAGCAGGGGGATGACGACAGTGGGCACAGGTCCTGGTGGGACGGGGAGCAGGGGGATGACGACAGTGGGCACAGGTCCTGGTGGGACGGGGAGCGGGGGTGGGGGGATGACGACAGTGGGCACAGGTCCTGGTGGGACGGGGAGCAGGGGGATGACGACAGTGGGCACAGGTCCTGGTGGGACGGGGAGCGGGGGGATGACAACAGTGGGCACAGGTCCTGGTGGGACGGGGAGCAGGGGGATGACGACACTGGGCACAGGGTTCCGGTGGGATCAGCGAGTGTGAGTGACATCAGCCAAGCCCCCGTGCTGAGCGCACACAACACACCAGCACTAAGACAGGGAGGAGGCTTTCGACTGCAGGGCAGAACTGGAATCATGCACACACCACGCAGGCGCGCGCTCACGCGGTGCTCGGAGCCACTGCACTAGCTCTGCGCTCTCGTGCCTCCCATTTGAAAGGTTCCAGGTTACACCTTAACACGAAGGTGGGCCACAGTTTTTCCTCCACCCACCCAATTCAAACTCAGAGGGGGGAACACTAAAAACAGGGGCCCGCTAATAAGACCCACCAGGCAAAGGTGCCTCTGGGCCCCAGGAAAGGGGAAAGCCTTCAGGAGGCCCCTGGCGCGAATGCCGAAGCCCTGCCCCCACCCCTTCCTCCAGCCCCCCCCCACCTCCCGACCATGCTCAGCTCAGGGAGCCCCTGGCGCTGATGCCGCAGCCCTGCCCCCCCACCCCAGCCCCCCGCCTCCCGACCATGCTCAGCCTCAATCTGAGAGGCTGGGGGGGGGGGCTTTGGAAACTGGGAGCAGGGCACTCGGAGTTGCCAAAGCCTGGCAGTGCCAGGAACCATTAATTCAGTGGAGAAGCAGCCTCTGCAGGCCTCCAGAAACAGTCAAACGCGCACGGGGACCCAGGGGGAGGAAGGAGGCCGGGAGTCGTCCACATGGGATCCTGACCTGGGCACACGGCAGTCAGGGCAAGACTGCACGGGTCCTGGGAGGTCACAGAGGAGCAGGGGGCAGAGGGCAGGGTGAGGGCTCCGGGTGTGTCAAGCTCAGGGACCAGCAGGAAGGGGAGAGACCCCAGAAGCAGACAGGAGGCTGCCCAGCTGACTCGGGCAGAGCTGGCAGCCAACGGGGTGGTGACAAAGCCGGAAAAGTCAGCGGTTTAATGTCTACACAGGAATCACAAGGACAAGAATTCCCGTCTCTTGCAGCAACGCCCAAACCTCAACAGGAAGGTGGGAAGCACACACGGAAAGCCACAAAGAATCGGGGACTGGGGACGGCTGAGCACCGGGAAGAGCTGGGAGGCAGCTGGGCTTTCGTGGAGGAAGCACAAGCTATAGACGCGGTGCGAGCGCTGGTGGCTGGTACCCCAGGGTGACAGCGGTCCCGGCACCCCCGCACCTGACCCCGTGGGGCCCACGGCAGTCCCTACAGGCCTCTGTCTCATCACAGGACTCCCAAGTGTCAATCTACGTGGAGTTCTTAGAAAAACACGCCGCACAAAGCAGCCAGGATAAACTTGATGCGCCCGGCCGGGCAGCAGCCTTACTTGTGACGTTGCGGTTCCTTGGCCTCAGCTCCTGTAGCTGCCATCCTCTCCTGACTGCAGGACCTAGGGGAGAGCAGAACACACAGTGGGGCCCTGAGCACGGGAGCCAAGCCGAGCCCTGCTGGGGGACGTCAGTGCCACGGGAGTCTCCATCCACACACCTACCATCGTGCAAGTGACGCAAGGGCATCAGTGTGTGTGCATGTGCCTGTGAGCGAGGACCTCTTGGGTCCTGACCACCGTGTGGGAGACCTGGATTGGGTCTGGACTCCTGCTGTAGGTCTGGCCCAGACCCGGCTGTCAGAGGCACTCTGAGAGTGAACCAGCAAATGGAAGATCTGACTACCCGCTTCTCTCTCTCCCTCTCTCCGTTTCAAATAAAATGAAAATAAATTTTAAAAAAATCTTTAAGATAAATTTATCTTGGTACAAAAAAATCTAAAACCATGCATACCTTTTATAATCTTCCTTCCGGCAAACTTTCGGAAGCTACTTTGTAACAAGGATACTTTATTTCCTACTGCATTTTGCAAGCTCTGACCCCAGGGCAACCGTCTACTTCCTGTTCGCTGCTTGGCTGAGCGGCGTACACACTCAGCCCCGGCAGCCCTGGCTGCTCCAGGAGGCGGCTGCTGGGTTTTCCTTCTCCACTCTGCCCCACCAAGAGTGACGGCCATGATTTCAACCGCAGGGTGAATGCTGGTGCTCGCCTGAGAGCTTTCAGAAGCAGCATCGGGGGCTTCCACACCAGAGAGACCAGCACTAAGGACCCTCGATGTGCGTGGAGTAAGGAGCCAGGGGTACTCAGGCACAAACCCCAGGCCAGAAGTTACCCAATGGGGGGGAGGGGGGCAAATAACGGTGCAGGCAGCGCCGAGGTGGATTTCCTCCAGCAGTGAAGGTGCACAGTGAGTGGGAACCCTGCCCGCACCGGGGAAGCTGCAATGGCTGCCGACGGCCCCTTAGTGTGGGATCCGCCTGGGATCCCGTCCCCTGGACAGGAACAGCAGTGGAAAGACGGGCCAGGAGACGGGGAGACGTAGGGAGACGTGGAAGCTGGGAGGCAGACAGGTGGGAAGGAAGCGCTCCCGAGGAGGGAGACCAGCCACTCAGAGTGGGCAGGCGCAGAGGCCCCGTCCCTGGTGGCATAAGACTATCTAGCTCAGAGGCCATTGGTTTTCTCAGTGCCCCTCTGCCTGGGCCCTGTGAACCTCTGCATACCTACAGGAATAAAAATGTGTCTTTGTCTCGCTCAGCTGTCTTTTGTCAGTCTAATTTGCAGGCCCCCCAAGAAGTGGACCCAAGAGGATGGAGGAAAAGCTCAGCTGGATTTGCAGACAGGGAGGGTGAGCCCCAGGATCAGGACAGGCGCAGGGGGGGGGGTGACAGCCTCAGGCCAGGTGGGCGTCCAGCTGCACCAGCGGGAGAGGAGCCCAGGCGTGGGCGTCCAGCTGCACCAGCGGGAGAGGAGCCCAGGCGTGGGCGTCCAGCTGCACCAACGGGAGAGGAGCCCAGGCACTAGGCTGATGGATGTTCCATCCACAGTAAGGTTGCAGTACCGGGGCCCCTGTGGGGCCAATGACAAAGTAGGCATGAGGCAGAAGAGGAAGCTGGCCGTGGGAAAACAGGGAATTAGGGGTCAAGGGCAAACCAGGAATCAACAATTAAGCCCAGGATGAAGACTACCACAAACAGCAAGAGAAAACCAAGCGTAAGGCAGACTCTTGACACCAGAGCACCGGTCTGCAGGCCCTATCTGATTAGACAGCAGCACCGGGCAGTGGAGATGGAGGGCCCTCCCAGCAGTGCCCTTTGTCCCAGGAGATAAGAGATAAGAGCTGCTCCCTTCTCTCAAGCCCCAGCCAGCTCCACAGCACAGAGTTTTTTATGCTGACTTTTATTTATCTTCATTTACTTGGAAGGAGAGTGATAGAAACATCTCCCAACTGCAGGTTCACTCCCCGCATGCTGGGCTGAAGCCAGAGCCCAGAACCCCGGCGTGGTGTCGTCTGAGTGCCAGAGGCCTGGGTACTTGAGACATCTCCTGCTGCCTCCCAGGACACACATTAGGAGGAAGCTGGGCTGGAACAAGAGTGGCTGGGACTCAAACCAGGCACCCAGTGTGGGAAGCAGGCGTCCCAGGGAGTGGCTGAACCTGCTGTGCCAAGGCCTGACCTGGTGCCTGAGCTTGTGGGGAGACAGACAGGTGGAAAAGAGGAGAGGCCCCCTAAGAGGGTACAAATGGTTACTTACTTCTCCCAAGTTATCCTCAGCAAATCGAAGGGCTGAATCCCACAGCAAGCTTCTCTCCAAAAGTTGCCTTTAGCAAGACACAAGTGCCTACCCGACTCCTGGAGCTTCCAGTTTTATCATGAGAATAGCAAGGAAGTGGGGATTCCACCCTACTGAGTTCCCAGTTTAGTCCCCACCCTCTTTTGTTTTATGGTGAGCAAGCTAGACAAGGAAAACAAGATTGCAAATCCAGCCTTTTGATGGGTTTCTGTCCCGCCTTCTAACTGAATATTAGTTGATAGTTTTCCCCCAAAATTGTGCTAAAAAAAAAAAACACTTCCACCGGCTTCTCAGGTCTGCCTCTCTTGGAACCCCCTTCCAGGCTGCTTCTGCAGGTTTCTGACTTAAGTACACCCTGCTTTTCTCTCTGCCTCGTCCATGTGGAAATTCTTCACGTGAGACCATGGGCGGCTGACCCTGGGGAGCGTCTCGTCCAACTCGGTGCCAGGATTCTCCCAGACATGGTCTCCCCTTCCAGCCACCCCTCACTTTTCCACTCCACAAGCCCCAGGCTCTGCCCCGGAAAACCCGGGCCTGGGTCTTGGGCTCCCACTCCCCTCCCTGGTGCCAGATCCAACTCATTAAACAGATCTGGCTTCAGTTTCGGGGTTTCTCTTTTTTTTTTTTTTTTTCATTTTAATCCATTAGACTAAAATCAGATGGGCAGGTTACTCGGAAATATAGCTGAGGGCATTAATGCTGGAGGGAGAGTAGGGGTTCAGCGTTGACCTCTACCCACCCATGCTGAAAGTACTAGAACCAAGAAAACCATCTGTGCCCGGTGAGCCTGAGCTGAAGTAAGGACACGACCTGGCCTCGCGGGAGGGGAGAGGGAGTAGTGCCCACCACACGCAGGGGCAGCCCCGCCGAGGCTCAGCGGGGCTGCGAAGCCCAGATGCTGGCACCTCGTCCAACCACGGAGGTCTCCAGTTCAAAAGCCGCGGTCACAGCACGAGAGCGGCGGGAGCGAGGCCAGCAGAGGCCGGGCGGGGCAGAAACCAGGGGCAGGTCCCGGGAGGCCGGGAAGTGCCCTCGGCTTCCCGCTCCGGACCCGAGCTTCCCGGGACTCGAGGGCGGCTGCGAGTCCGCGCCGGAGCTGCGGGACAGGCCCCCGTGACCTCGGATCCTGAGCAGCGAGGGAGAGGCCCGCGAGGGCGCACACGACCCGCGCGCAGCGGCCACTCGGCGCCTCGACCCCACGGCGACGGTCGGGACCCGCGCGAACTGCAACGCGCCTGCCGACCACAGCTTTCGCGGCTCGACCCACGAGCTGTGCCCGCCCCCAAGCTGGCGGCGTCGGCTTAGCTCCACTCCGAGACACGCACCCCGCCCCCGGCGCGGCTCCCGGGCTCCTCGCCCTCCGGGCTGGGAGAAGGAAGCACCCGCGCGCGTTCGGTGCACCGGGCCCCGCGCTGCGCCGCCGCCTCACCCGCGCCCCCGCGCGCCGCCAGTGGCCGAGACGCGTGAGAGGCTCGCGGTGGGTGGGCCCGAGGGAGCGCGTCTCCCGCGCGCCCGTATCCCTAGGCACGCCCATGCCACCCCGCACATCCGGTCCCCTCACCCCCCAGCCGCGCGCACCGCTTCTCCACGCACCTCGTCCACGCGCGCCCGGCGGGCTGGGTCACCTGGCCCGCAGGTCCACCGGAGCGTTCTTCAGGCCGGAGCCGGCGAGCATCCTGCAGGGCGGAACCCGGAAAGGTGCACCCTCGCGGCGCGTCCCGCCCTCTCCACAGCCGCGCCCTCCCGGCCCCGCAGCGCCAGCGACAAAGACCTCGCTCCAGGGGCGCGGGAGGGGGCAGCTCTCGCAGGCTCGCGGGCCGCGGCGCTGGGCCGCCTGGAGGCGGGAACCGCGAACGAGCGAGTCTGCACGCCCCGCCCCGCCGCCCGCGCCCCGATCCCCGCCCGGGGTCAGCGCCGGCCGCGCCTCGCCCCTGCCAGCCCCGGCTTTCCTCGGCTCCTTGGCTCCACCCCGGGGTGCCGCTGCCCACGGTAATGTTGGGTCGTGGCAGGGAACCGGCAGCCGCCGGTCACTCACTCAACTCAGCAGGTGCAGCCTCCTCGCCCACCGCGTCCCGCGGGCTCGCAGCGGAGAGGCCGGGCGGGGGGGTATGAAAAGGACGGGCCCTGGTCGCCTGAGGGTCCCCTCCGATTCTCCGGCCCCAGCTTCTCGGTACTTCCGGGACCCTCCCGACCCCGGCAGCTTAGGGAGAGACCGGAGTCCCAGGGCTCGCCCAGGCATGGGGAGCGCCCCTGCGCTCGGGGCCGGGCTGCGCGGGGCCTTACGCGCGCTCTCCAGCGCCGTCCCGCCCCGCGGCCCCGCAGGTCCCCTCTTTGCCGCCCTTGGGGCGGGCACAAGCCATCCGTCCGGGGGATTTCGGAGCCAGTCTCGTTCCCGCTAGGCTGCAGGTAAATCGGGAAATCACCAAGCACCCAGACTGGCTTGCCAGGGGAAGCCGCGCAGAAGAGGCAGGGCGCAAAGCAAAGCTGTCCCGGCCGCCGAGAGCCACCTGAAGCCTGCAAGCGGAGAGAGACCCGGCAGCCAATGGCCTAACGGCCGCGGGCTCCTGGCAGGTGCGAGGCGGGCTGGGGGCAGGGAGCATGGCGAAGCCGAGCGGCACCTGGGAGTGCTCAGGCTCGCCGCTGGCCGAGAGTGACCCCAGAGCCCTTGGCATTCGCCCAGCTCACGGCTTTCCACGGCAGCAGTCAGGCCCCGGGACCTCGGCCTCTGTCGCCGTGGCCTCACTCTTCCGTCCCTGGAGCCGGGTCCCCTCCCGGCTGACGCAGGAATGGTTTGAAAGAGCGCGGCCGGCCACAGCCGGCACCCGCCCTGCCAGCGGCAGAATGGGGCGGAGAGCCAAGTGCTGGCCAGGGCTGCACCCGCCGCCCTGCTGGGTGCTGCCAGGCCCGCACCCTCCCCGGCCGAGGCCAGCTTGCTGGGGCGCCTTCCGCAACCAGGGCCTGCCCTGCCCTGGAGGAGCTAGAGGGCGCCCAAGTGACTCGGGCTGCCCTGGTGACCTTGGAGGGAGAGGGCGTGGCTGGGCAGCATCTCCGTGGTTACAGGAAGGAAATGCGCCTGAGTTATACACTGGAGGCAGGGTGGGTGCCTGGGACTGCCTTGTCCTCTCTGGGACCCCCTGGGCGGGGTGTCTGGGAGCTGGCCTGTCCAGCAGGCCAAATGCTTAGGGACAAATGCACACAGGCCCTACGGCTTGCAGAGGTTTGAAAGTTCTTTGCATGGTCTGGGTACAAGGTCTTTGTTGGATATGTCACTTGTGTTTTTTTTAATATATAGAAAACTGTTATTTAATAAATAGAAACTTCAAAAGTACAACTTTTGGATTATAGTGGTTCTTCCCCCATAACCTCCCTCCAACCCGCAAACTATCCCATCTCCTACTCCCTCTCCCATCCCATTCTTCATTAAGATTCATTTTTAATTATCTTTGTATACAGAAGATCAGCTCTGTACTAAGTACAGATTTCAACAGTTTGCTCCCTCTTGCAAGTGTTTTCTCTGGATCTTTGTACTCCCTTCATACCGCTTTCACAGAGCAGCAGCTGTTTTGTTTTGTTTAATGAGGTCAGTTTATCTATTTTCCCACGTAAGGAGCACTATTTCCTTGTCCAGGCTGAGAACGTGTTGTCCAGTCCTGGGTCTGGAGAATCTCGCCCTGGCCTCTCTCCCCCACCCCCGGCTTTAATGGTTCTGTTGTGCCTTTGAGTTCATGGCCGGCTTCTCGATGGGACGGTGGCGGGAAGGTTGCATTTTGCTTTTCATCTGTGGACGTCCGCCTGCTCCTGCAGCCTTTTCTCCAGTGTTTCTCGTCGCTGTCCGCAGTTGGTTGAGCACGGCTGTGGGGCCTGTGCTGGCATTCCGTTCTGCGCCCGAGTCACCCCTCCTCTCTCCGCACTGCACTCTCCGACGGCTGTGACTCCTAACTGGACTATTGTGTAGTCAGTTTCCTACGTGAATCTTCGTTGCTAATATTGTTTCTGCCGTCTATGGCTTGTGCTTTTCCATATAAATTATAGGGAGAAAAAAAAAACCTTGCCTAAATCTGAAAAAACAAACAAAGTAACATTGTGATAGGGATTGCATTCAGGCTCTTTCCTTCCACCCGACTTGCGCATGTCTCTCTGAGCCCTCATTCCAGAACCAGGAGGCTCAGTTCTGGCTTGCGTCCTGTGGAGCTGTGCTGTGGTCTGGATGTGGTTGGAGTCCCCCAGAGGTTGTGCAGGAAGCTCCGCCCCCAGGGTGCTGTGTTGGTGTTCTGGGACCCGTGGGAGGGAGCTGCTGCCCTCACAGGGACTAAGGCGGGTCTCTGGGGAGGTAGTTCTCCCAAGAACGCCTCCTTGGAGAGCAGTCAGCTGCCTCTTTCTCAGCACACAGCCTCCCCTGCACCTGCACCTGCCGCGGTGACACCATCTCCCTCCCAGAGCCCGCAGGAAACCTCCACAGCTGGGAGCTGAAGAGCACTCTCTTCTGTAAAACGATCCTGCCTCAGATGGCGTCCCTTGGCGCCACAACGCGGACTTGCCCATGAGTTTCTTTTACCGTATCAGCTAGGACAGAACAATGCAGGAGAAGGTGTCCTTGCCCTTTAAAGATGTATTTGTTTGAAAGGCAGAGTTACACAGAGAGAACGAGAGGCAGAAAGAGAGAGGTCTTCCATCCGCTGGTTCACTCCCCAAATGGTTGCAGTGGCTGGAGCTGGGCCGATCCAAAACCAGGATCCAGGAGCTTCTTCTGGGTCTTCCCAGGTGGGTGCAGGGGCCCTAGGACTTGGGCCATCTTCTGCTGCTTTCCCAGGCCATAGCAGAGAGCCAGGTCTCGAACTGGCACCCACGTGGGATGCTGGCACTGCAGGTGGTGGCCTGACCCACTATGCCGCGGTGCCCCACTCCCGCCCCACCCTGTACAGCCTCTCAGGGCGGTGCACGCTGCTAGCTGGAGACGTTTTGCAGACGCTGTTCTTTAGAAAAACGTTTTCTCTCTTGTCCCATATTTCTCTGGTTTGGCGTCAGGCCTCATGAAGAAGTTAGGAATTCATCTCTGGATGAGTCTAGAGAATTTGCATCATTTCTCCCCTAAATGTTTGGTTAATTTCACTATAGGGGCCTTCTAATGTGGGCTGCAGGGCGCTCCTCCCAGCCGCAGGGCTGCTCCTCGCCCTGACGCCCTGACGCCCTGACCCTGACCTGCCGCCTCCATCAGGGCCGGGTGCTCTGCCCCCCCACCCCGCCCCCGGGCTCACAGGCCTTGGCCCCAGGCCAGTGTTATCTTGGAGAAGGCAGGACACCTGCCCCCGCGCTCATCGAGGCTCTGGGGACAACGGTGGTGGGGCGCCGGCCCAGAAACACAGAACACACAGAGGGCCATGTGTGTGTGTGTGTGTGTGTGTGTGTGTGTGTGTTCCTACATGTGCATACGCATCCATACAAGCCAGGCTGTTTTAAGATTCTCTGATGATTTCTGCTGACAATTCAGTTTGGTCTTGCCGTATTTTCAGTTTCTGGAAATCAGTCAGTGCCTTTAGGACAGCTGGATGTCTGTGTGGTATGT